AAGCAGCCTCCGGATCCCCTATTCCTTCAAACTTGGGTTGTTTCAATTTCAAAAATTGTTCTACTATCTGATGCATCTGTCGATTCCCATGCCCGTTACCAGCATTCTCATTAACTCCAGCGGCTGCAGCCTTAGAAGCTTGGGCGATCGCATTAACTCTCTCTTGAGCTTGCCTATCCAACATATTCCCAATCCTCTCTAACACCCTAAGAACTCCTTCCATACGCGGATCTTCCGCGATCGGGATTTGAGAACTCGACGAGCCTCCTGCTTCTGCACCTCTCCTATTCATTCTCACAGGCTCACGCTATCCTCCTACCTGCTATAATTCCATATGGGAATTAGGAACCCAGGTCGATTCTACGAGTCCAAGCTCTAGGCACAAAACTCGACAACTAACAATCAATGCCCAACAACCAACCATTAAACCAATCACATAACATCAAGCCAACATCACCAAACAACCAATAGGGTTCTCGTACTCACCTCCAGTCCTGCCGCACTTTCGTCTCAATCAATATAACAATCACAATAAACCACTCAGCAATCACAGGCGCGTACTCACAGGTCATGCATAATCAACATAAATACGCAATCTACAAAGGGCTCCCTAACTGACTACCCCGAAGTCGTCGCTCCTTATCACTCCAGATCTCGACCTTACCGATATCGAGCTAACCTTGCTCTGCTACCAATTCAACAGGGGATGTCACGCCCCGAACCCCATCGAGCTCGCGACATCCCGAACTTCCGGTCGAATAGTTGCGACGTCCCAGGAACATCGCCGACCCAACCCAAACATCAAAAACACATGCGGAAGCGAATATAAAACCCCTGACTATAAAGATGACAATGGGGTAGATCACCAAGACAATCAACAACAATGATCATTTTTATACAATGCCATTACACCAAGCATACAAACATCATATTACAAACAACTTAACAGACGAGCATCTGAAACCACCGATATAACACAAGGATCAGGTGGCTTGGTTAACTTAACTTCACTATAGGTCGACCCAACTATCAAAAGGATTCTGGTCAGACCTATTCTGCGCAACCCCTAAAATACCCTAGGGAAACCTACCGGTCACCCTCCTCCGCTCTGCCTCAGCATCCTCTGGCTCGAGCCCCCGGAAGACCACCTGGACCAAGATATGGAAATCGCCTTCAGCTCCACTGGGGTACTATAGTTAGCTCTTCATACTGCAAAACGGGGAGGCGGGCTTCCTGGGTTTAAGGCTGGGGGTCTGAAAGTGGTGGTTATACAACCATGAGACGAATCTCAATAAGTACACAACCCCAAACCCTACATAGGCTCTCACGTATCGCCAGACGAAACACACATAACACACAACGAACGTCCATACTAACAAACACATACGATCCTACCTGGAGTCCATCATGCATGTCCCTGCAAGTTAGATAATAACACAATCAACATGCTACCGTAATGCATCGCAACCGCGCGCGTGCATCGATTATAAGGCAAAACCTACCTGGGCACGTCCCATACCATGCCTAGTAGTTTTTACTCCATAATCGAGTACTACATCACGCGATACAAACCGCACTCGCACACTAACTCACACCAAGCGTCAACTTTCACAATCCTCACACGTCAAGCCAAGTCCAACTCATTCCCAACTTTTCCACTACTACCGCGCACGCGTAAAACGCATCAGGCCAACGGTCTTCTGACCTCTTCAGGCATCGACACCCCGTCGGGCCGGGCATCGTCACCTCGTCAGGGACGGCATCGTCCCGCGTAAACGAACACGCCTCAGGACAGATCCTACATTCTCACTTCCTCCTCTACCGCGCCCGCGTAAAACGCATCAGCCCAACGGTTTTCTGACCTCGCCAGACATCGTCACCCCGTCGAGGCGGACATCATCACCTCGTCAGGGATGGCATCGTCCCGCGTAAACGAACACGCCTCGGGACGGAACTTTTCCAACCAATCCTACATTCCCGTACCTTCGTTCCACACACTCCACACGTACCACACATACACCACGTCCACACTCAAACTCACGCCACATATACACACGGTCACGCATGAATTCACATCTCACATACACTTCACAAATACACGTTCTCATCACACAAACACACCACCCCATCATACATGCTTGGCACGCGAACTCAATGCACAATCGCACCACCACGCCTCACGGCCACACCCTCACGGCACATAACCATATCACATTAAGCACAACATTCAGTCTAAATCAACCAATAACCACAATTTACCCAATCACACATACGAGCCTATTCAGGGCAGAATCTTACCCATCAAACATACGATCCAATCCAACTCGTTCCATATCATCACAGCCCTATCCGAGTCCACTAAATCACGCATTTTCAACCACCAAATCAGTCCACAACAACCTAACAACCAGCCCTCATCTCAGCCCCAAAACAGCCATTAAACTACCCGAACCAAGCCCTAAACATGTCTAACAATACCCGAGATCCTAAGTAACATTTGGTGAAGTCACTTACCTTAGAAATGCGTGATAAACGGGCTGATTGGGTGGCTGGAACGGCCGGATCGTAAAGGCCAAGAAATGAAAGGTTAAGAAGAATGCAGCAAATAGCCAAACAAAGGAATGGGCCGCACCACCTTGACGGGCAAAGCTGGGCGGCGAACAGCAATTAAGGGTGGCGGTGGGGACGTATGGGCCAGGGGAGGTCAGCCAGGGGTGGCTCGGTGCTGGCTGAACAGGATAGGGGAGGCGAACAGAAAGAGAGAGACAGGCGGACGGTGGTGGTGCTCGGCCGGAAAGGAGAAGGAGCGGCGACGGTGACCGTTGGGAGGGCGGCGACCAGGCGACGACGAACTGGTGGCCGGCCGAAGTGGCTCATGCACAAGGGAGAGGGGAGAGAGAAAGCCGGTTCGGTGGGGGGTGAGGAGAGAGAGAGAGGGAGAGAATTATTGAGGAGAGAGAGAGGAAATAGATATTTATATTCTAACCCCAATAATTGCACTCCGGAAATTACCAAAATACCCTCTATCTACCCCTCCGATCCAACGGTCAAGATTTAATCTCATTCAAATCTGACGGCCCACGTCTGTCCTTATCCAAAAAGCCAAAGGGCAAAAGAGTAATTACCTAGGGAAAGAAAGGGGCATTCTTGTCTTCTCATTTTCGGCCATACTGGGTCATTCTCAGTCCCTCGACTTAATCCAGTCCTCAAAATTCGTTCGCGATCTCTGGGGAAAAATGGTCATTTTTCCGGTCCCGGACCAAAATCCATTTTTTTACAGAAATGGGTGGCCTCAAAGTTGGCCACACCAAAAACGCCATTGGCCGCTAAAAATGGTTACTTTCAAAATTCTCGATTCCCTGGCCCGAATTCCAAGATATGACTAGAATCGAACAATTGCGACTTTAGCTTATCTCTTGCTAACAGGTGGCTCACTGGAATTACGCGTTCTCGACCCGTGATCGATACTAAGTCAAATCACGTTTAAGTTTGCTCGAACCAAGGCGACCTCGATTGTCATATAATTGCGAGGGTGTGTCGCTAGCTCCCTTCGGACACGATCAATCAAATAGATCGCTCTCTGTTGGCCCAAAACATTCCTTCGTCAATCCTTATGATCAAAGGTCGAACCAAGGTCGAGTCCTTTGGTCGTACAAACTCAATCCCGTAATGGCCTTACCCCTAATGTTAGCATCCCGAGAATGCGCGGTTCCGGGTGAGATCTCACTATAAGTGCATTGGCCAAATATTCATTTCATAAATCCCGGGAAAAGGATCGAAAATTCGGAATGTTACAATTCTTCCCCCCTAATAAAATTTCGTCCTCGAAATTTACAACTATACTCAGCCATCCAACAAATGGGGGTAATGACGTTTCTTTCTTCCTTTCTCCCACTTTATCCCACCAATAGTGCTACCGAAATTTTTGGTATATTTACGTGCTGCCCTGTGAATACTATAATTGCTCCTATGAGCTCCCGATAGAATCTCTCCTTAAGCTCCAAATCATCGGGCATGCACAATCGTCCTCGAAGTTTCAGAATTCCATCCTCTAGCCGCATTTCTTCTGCCGTCAAATCGACCACACTTGCTAAGTAACCATGACACCTCTCATCTAACAATTTGGTTACTTCTACTGACGAAACTTAAGGGACCGAGGTTCCTCCTCGACTCTCTACAAATTTAAATCTAGGGTGTTCAGTCGGACTAAACTGAATCACCCCAATGCTGCAATCCATTACAGCATTCTGTTCGACTAACCAATTCATGCCCACAATCATATCAAAATCATACATAGTCAAACGGTCAAATCTATCCAGCTTCCTACACCACCAATCACAATTTTACAGTCTAAGCACCCTAACAACACGCATATGTTATTCCACAATGGTATAGTCACACACTCACACTTCTAAAGAAAAACGGTTTCAATCCAGCCAATTTAACAAATCAAGCAGACACAAACGAGTGCAACGCCCCCGGATCAATAAAACATATGCCACATAATTATACAGGGAAACCATACCTGTGCTTTCGCCTGGCGCATTCTCAATTCCTTTTCGCGTCAGGGAGTACACACGTCTTTGTGCCAGTGGCCTGTTCGAATTAACCGGTGGGGCTGCACTAGTCGGATTCCCAACCCGAGGTGTCTGCGATGATAGGGGTGGTCGACCCTGAAGATTCGGGCAATTCCTGATGTGATGTCCCATTCCACCACACCCAAAGCATGTCCCAGTCACACTTGGACAGGGACCACTTCCATGATGTCTCCCACAGCGTCTACAGGCTGAATTAGATGGATGTGCCGATTTCCCAATATTCCTTCTTGCCGGAGGGATAAAACGTCGATTTTCCATCATCGGCCTTTTCTCTTGTTGACGATCATCCCTGGCTGAGGTATACTGTGATCCAGACGCAGCAGCTCTATCCGTCATATCCTGCTCAATAGCTTAAGCCCTCTCATATAATTCCTCATAAGTCCTCAAATTTACCGGTATCAGTTAACTACGAATATCAGCCTTCGGTCCATCCCGAAACCTTTGCGCCTTATCCTCAGGATGGTCTACCATTCTTGGCGCAGACTTAGACAGCCTGACAAATTCTGCCTCGTATTGATCAACGGTCATTTGGTTCTGCTGCAACCTAAGAAAAGCTGTCATCTTTCTTTCTCGGGCACTTACCGAGAAATACTTCTCATTAAAAGCCTGAACGAAGGCCGTCCAATTTTGTTCCACACCTGCTGGGAACACTCGGCCTTGTGTGGCTTTCCACCAGTCGTTCGCATTACCCTGAAGCTGGTACACTGCCAGCGTCACTTTCTCTGCCTCAGTACACCCCAATAATGCAAATGCTTTTTCCAACTCCTCAACCCATTTGGGAACACTAGGCCTTGTGTGGCTTTCCACCAGTCGTTCGCATTACCCTGAAGCTGGTACACTGCCAGCGTCACTTTCTCTGCCTCAGTACACCCCAATAATGCAAATGCTTTTTCCAACTCCTCAACCAATTTAGAAGCAGCCTCCGGATCCCCTATTCCTTCAAACTTTGGTGGTTTCAATTTCAAAAATTGTTCTACTATCTGATGCATCTGTCGGTTCTCATGCCCGTTACCAGCTTTCTCATTAACTCCAGCGGTTGCAGCTTAGGCGGCGGTCGCATTAACTCGCTCTTGAGCTTGCCTATCCAACATATTCCCAATCCTCTCTAACACCCTAAGAACTCCTTCCATACGCGGATCTTCCACGATCGGGATCTGAGAACTCGACGAGCCTCCCGCTCCTGCACCTCTCCTATTCATTCTCACACGATCACGCTATCCTCCTACCTGCTATATTCCATACGGGAATTAGGAACCTAGGTCGATTCTACAAGTCCAAGCTCTAGGCACAAAACTCGACAACCAACACTCAATGCCCAACACCCAACCATTAAACCGATCACATAACATCAAGCCAACATCACCAAACAACCAACAGGGTTCTCATACTCACCCCCAGTCCTGCCGCACCTTCGTCTCAATCATTATCACAATCACAATAAACCACTCAGCAATCACAAGCGCGTACTCACAGGTCATGCATAATCAACATAAATACGCAATGTACAAAGGGCTCCCTAACTGACTACCCCGAAGTCGTCGCTCCTTATCACTCCAGATCTCGACCTTACCGATATCAAGCTAACCTTGCTCTGATACCAATTCAACAGGGGATGTCACGCCCTAAACCCCATCGAGCTCGCGACATCCCGAACCTCCGGTCGAATAGTACGACGTCCTAGGAACATCGCCGATCGAACCCAAACATGAGAAACACATGCGGAAGCGAATATAAAACCCCAGACTATAAAGACGACAATGGGGTAGATCACCAAGACAATCAACAACAACGATCATTTTTATACAATGCCATTACACCAAGCATACAAACATCATATTACAAACAACTTAACAGACGAGCATCTGAAACCACCGATATAATACAAGAATCAGGTGGCTTGGTTAACTTAACTTCACTATAGGTTGACCCAACTATCAAAAGGATTCTGGTCAGACCTATTCTACGCAACCCCTAAAATACCCTAGGGAAACCTACTGGTCACCCTCCTCCGCTCTGCCTCAGCATCCTCTGGGTCGAGCCCCCGGACGACTACCTGGACCAAGATACGAAAATCGCCTGCAACTCCAATGGGGCACTATGGTCAGATCTTCATACTGCAAAACGGGGAGGCGTGCTTCCTGGATTTAAGGCGGAGGGTCTGAAAGTGGTAGTTATACAACCATGAGACGAATCTCAATAAGTGCACAACCCCAAACCCCACATAGGCTCTCACGTATCGCCAGACGAAAGAAATGGGCATTCTTGTCTTCTCATTTTCGGCCATACTGGGTCATTCTCAGTCCCCCGACTTAATCCAGTACTCAAAATTCATTCGCGGTCCCGGGGGCAAAACGGTCATTTTTCCGATCCCGGATCGAAATCCATTTTTTTTATAGAAATGGGTGACCCCAAGGTTGGCCACACTAAAAACGCCATCGGCCGCTAAAAATGGTTACTTTCAAAATTCTCGATTCCTAGGCCCGAATTCTAAGAAATGACTAGATCGAACAATTGCGACTTTAGCTTATCTCTTGCTAACAAGTGGCTCACTGAAATTACGCGCTCTCGATCCATGACCGACACTAAATCAAATCACGTTTAAGTTTGCTCGAACCAAGGCGACCTCGATTGTCATATAATTGCGAGGGTCTGTCGCTAGCTCCCTTCGGACACGATCAATCAAATAGATCGCTCTCTGTTGGCCTAAAACATTCCCTCGTCAATCCTTATGGTCGAAGGTCGAACCAAGGTCGAGTCCTTTGGTCGTGCGAACTCAATCCTGTAATGGCCTTACCCCTAAGGTTAGCATCCCAAGAATGCGCGGTTCCAGGTGATATCTCACTATAAGTGCATTGGCCAAATATTCATTTCATAAATCCCGGGAAAAGGATCGAAAATTCAGAATGTTACAATATTTGTGAATGCCTTCGTGAGATTGATAGATTGTTCCGTGAGAAATTTTAGAGTTAAACATTGTGTGAGTTATTAGGTGTAATTAGAGGCTAGGATACACTAAGAGTGTTTCAGGGACTCAAGTGGTCGTTATATCGCTTAATCTATTGTGGAATGTTGTTCTTCCCGTGGACATAGGTCACACTAACTCAGCTACATAAATCTAGTGTTCAGTTTAATTCATTGTTCTGTTTATTTTTTTTGTTCTATTACTTGTTTATGCAACAATTGATATTAGAACTATGCTTGGCTGAGTTAAAGCAAATCGATGGCAATAGAAAAAGAAAAAGTGAAAAATCGACATATTTGATAGAAAGGATTTTGGTTTCCAGAAGATACAAATTGAAGATTACCTATTTCATAATAATCTACACTTACCCTTGTCTGAGAAGAAATCAGAGTTGATTAAGTAAGCTGAATGAAAATTGCTGAAATCTACACTTATCCTTATCTGAGAAGAAACAAGAGTCGATGAAGCAAGCTGAACGAAAATTACTGGATAGACAAGAGTTGGGTGTTATTCGGCTGATGCTAGCACGTAACGTTGTGTTTAATATCGTGAAAGAGAATACCAATGTGTGACTGACGAAAACTTTATATGACATGTACGAAAAGCTCTCTACAATCAACACGGTCTATTTGATGTAACGTCTGTTTAACATAAAGATGAGTGAAGGCGCGTCAATTACTGATCATATCAATGAATTCAATGCAACGTTAGTCAATTGAGTTTAGTAGAGATTGACCTTGAAGATGAGGTAAGTGATTTGATTCTAATATCATCATTGCTTGATAGTTAAGATATTATTGTTACTATTGTTAGTAATTCCTCTAGGTCAACTATCTTGACATTTAATAGGGTTCATGATTTAATTCTGAGTGAGGACATTCATTGGAGAGTGTATAAACTTGTGCCTTTTGATATATGAGTTGAACATAGAGGAAGAACTAGTATTTGTATTAGTAGAAATAATAAAAACCTAAACAGACATAGTCAGTCTAAAACTGGTGGTGCTATTTGTTGGAGCTATGGTAAGAGAGGGTATCTTAGAAGAGATTGCCTTGAGCTACAGAACGAGTAGGTAAGGGAATTAGAGTTGAGTCTGCTGATGATGTTGCAGTTATAGTTAACTGTAATTCAGATAATGCTAATTTGTTGTTTGACGGATGGATTATGGATTATGGTTGTTTGTTTTATGCTACACCAAATAGACACTGATTTACTACCTATCAATGCATGGATAATAGTTAAGCGCAGTTAGGAAAAATGGTGAGTACGATGTTGTGGATGTTGGTAATGTTAGAATCAGAATGCATGATGGTATCATGAGGACATTAACAGGAGCGAGGCGTGTTCCAGAGTTGAAGAAGAACTTGATTTTCTTGAGTGCGTTTGATTCAGCCAGTTGTCCATATACTTTAGAAAGTGGAGTTTTAAAGGTTGTTCAAGGTGCCTTGGTGATTATGAAATGTATCAAGCATATTGGCCTATATGAGCTTCTAAGTGAGACAATGATAGATTTCTCCATAGAGACGTCGGATGCATTTGTTTGAGAGTCTGAATTGTGGCATATGCATTTCGGACACATTACCGAGAGAAGCCTAAAGGTTCTAAGTAAAAGAAATTTGCCGTGTGGTTATGTTGCTAATGAACTAAATATATGCAGGTGTTGTGACTTAGATAAACAGTGAAGAATGTAGTTTAGTTCGACTGTCAGAGAATCAAAGAGGTTGCAAAGTTAATTCACTTGATGTTCGTAGGCTATTGCGGTTTCCTTTAAGGAAAAGCACTAGATTTATACTAACAGTTGTGAATGACTATTTAAAGAAATCGTCCAAAGAAAATGTGCAATATTAGCACAAGTGCTAGATTTATGCAGAGTTAATTCACTTGAAGTTCGTAGGCTATCGCGGTTTCCTTCGAGCTACTTGGTGAATAGATCCCCAACGACTACGATTGGATGTCAAATTCCCAAAGAAATGTGGTTAGGTAATGTTATTGATTATTCTATTATTAAATATTTGATTACCCATGTTATGTTCGTGTGAGTGATATAGAGCTCAATGGAAGGGCAAGAAAGTGCATGTTCTTAGGCTATACACAAGGTGAGCGAGGTTATCGGTTGTGGTGCTCTGAATCAAATTTACATGTTATTAATAGAAAAGTTATATTTGACAAGTCTCCAGTACTTCCGCCTGTGAGTGATTATGGCAGGTTTCATACAAATTTAAATGTTGTTCAACTTAAGGTGGAGTTGCGATTAGAAACTCCTACGGTAATGGATATTAGCGGAGTAATCAACACAAATGAAGCTTGTAGCAAGGTGGAGCCTATAGAGCTAATAATTGTTGTAGCCGCTGAATTTAACGATGTGCATGTTCATTCTCTCGACATATATGGATATAACGATGATTTTGCTTTATCTATGATAAAGGAGGTTGTATCAGAAAATCTTTGTGAAGTAATTAAAGATACAGGTGGAGTTCGTGTTCTGATGAGGTCCACAACTATGCTTATGGCGAAGTTCAAGCAAGCTGGGAAAATGTCAGTGGCTGTTGAGCCTATAAGGGGCTGTAGGAAATTAGTAGCGAAGTTTAGATATTCCAACGAAGCAATCGTGATTTAGTTCAAACGTTGAGCCAAAGTAGAGATTGTTGAAAATAAGTCTCGAGTTTGAGTATGAAGGAGAAATTTTCCTAACTCAAGTAGGTTTCCTTGTTGAATGCTTTTTCTAATTGGAGAAGGTTTCCTATTTTCGATCCAATTCTTGCTTATATATTAGAAGTGGATGTTTTTTCTAAGGGTATCCGAGAGGCGGCATCTTTGTGAATTACACCATGAGAGCTTTTAGTGTTGAATCCCATTAAATCTTATGGGTAAGATTTACGTATTCCTTCCTGAGATTGAGATATTATTTTATGAATAATTGTGGAGCTAAATGTTGAGGAAAACTCCTAATGATTTTGAAGTTCACAAAACTTTCCATGTTATTGTAAATTTGATACTTATTCTGAACTATTTTATTCCAGGTATATA